ATATATAATTATTTTTCAGTTGGTGAAAATATAAACATTTAGGCAGTCAGCTAAGAATCGGACTTGATGATCTGGGGAAGATATCTCACTTGGAATTCATGTTTACAGGTCTGCAAATGGCTGTGACTTGTAAAACAGCGGTGGGTTTTTGTGTTGCTTTTTTATTTATTTATTTTCAAATTACTAAGTAGCTGCTCAAAACCAACCTGGCTTCTGAATGCCCGGTTTTTCTGACTTGAGCACTTACTCGGTTTTAGCATATAGCAAGCATATCAGATGCATACTGGGGCTGCGTTGTGTGGAAGATTCTATTTGTTTGGGTTTTGTCGGTGCTGCCCAATTATTCTGCAGTCCCTGGTGCTTACTAGGTTTATTTGCTTCCTACTCCTCCTATGGCAACAGGTTGTAGTCGCTGGTAGGCTTAGGACAGATTTTGTAACAGAAAACTGTACCTTTCAAACTTGCCATCATCTGCCTTGGCTTGCTGTATTATGTTTTTTGAATGGGAAGGTGTTGTTTGTGGGTTACTTTTTTAATGCGTACTTAGGAGTTGTAGCCTGCTTGTAACTCTGTTTTGTGGCTGTTCTAATGCGTTTCACTCTTCTGGTCGTTGCTGTCATTGGAGGAACCTCACTGAAGAGAATTATGGACTTGGATTTTCAACTGACTTAGTCAGCATTGTAACAAACGTCACCAGATCCTTTGTGGGGGCTTCCTGTGGAGGACTGCATCTTCCACCCTCACGTGGTTGTTCACTGCCAGCAGGCTCCCGCATTGAGCTTTAGCAGTCTAGCCTCTGGCTGATTGAATTTCAGTTCACAGGGTTAATCATTGTTGCATCACTGCACTGCAGCGTTGTATTTGCGTGGATTGCAGGGTTAAACAGAAGGAGGCCAGTCCTGTTGAAACAAAGAGCTGGACATCATGCTCTTTCCGAGCTCTGACGTTTAGAGATGAAGTATCATGGAAGCAGTTGCTGAACTTCTGCATCTCTTGCTCTGTCTCATCTCACCTTCTCAAACTTACAGTTGAGTTGCTGAAGCTGTACTAATTTTGGAAAACATTACAATATTTTTAATAAGAAGTAAGGTATACTGTAGCTTACTTGGTAAAAGAGTAACGGTGTTGTCCACAGATAGTAGTTAAAACCCCAGGAATTACGTTTAGTGACTTGTATTGGTAGAAGTAATAGCCTCAAGTTGTGCCAGGGGAGGTTTAGATTGGACATTAGGAAAAAATTCTTTACTGAAAGAGTGGTCAAACATTGGAACAGGCTGCCCAGGGAGGTGGTGGAATCACCATCCCTGGAGGCGTTCAAAAGACATGTAGATGTGGTGCTTAGGGACATGGTGGGCTTGGCCATGTTAGGACCTGGTGATCTTAAAGGTCTTTTCCAACCAAAATGATTCTGTGATTCTAAGTATTAGTGACAACCACAGAACAAAAAGCAAAAGCTTTAGTCTTTTAAAGACGGACACTTGCAAACCACGCAGAAAATAAGATAATAATCAAAGTGTTTAATTTATTCAGTACTTAACAGGGTTTGTGTTTTTTTAATTGAAACATAATAATGAAATGGTTATCTTATTTGATAATTAATGTAAGCACTTCAAAGGTTCACACAGCTTCTTTTCATTGACTGTTTACTTGAACTTGGGGAGAGTTGTACTGGCAGTTACCATAGCTCCCTGACTGCAGCGATGCCATGCTGTTTCTGAGGAGATGAGATGGCCACATGCTGCAATGATGAGTACCATAACCTGCTATGTATTTCTCTTTGTGTGTCACTTGTGTGGATGTCATTCTTACAGTTCTCACAATTACAAATTTCATGGATAGATTTTTCCTCTTTAATGCTCTTTGTCTAGAATATTTAACTACTAATGTGCTCCCAGCTAAGTTTCATTTTGATATCAAGATAAGGATAACTGCTGGGAGCTTTTTACATCTGAGTTATTTTTAGGTAGGATGAATACATACTGAATGCTCAGAGGTATCCTGAGTTACAGGTTTAATAGTGTTTCTATGAGTTCTTGATCATTATTAAGGTAACCTTGAAAGTATATTGGTGCCTTGTGTAATATAGAGAAGATCTGGTGTCAGCCTGGAAGAATTGCCCATGTTTGTCCTTATGTATTTGCCAACAAAGGGAGAGGAAGAGACTATGGTCAGAATTCTGCATCTCTTTGATTTGCAATAAACCCACCTGCTTTGCTGAAAAACTCTGAACTTTATAAAAGCTTAACTGAAAATTATGTAGAGTCTGAGACTTCAGTAGTGTCTTTGGAATTGAAAGCTGGTTATCTGTCTCCACCGAGCAGGATATTGTTTGTATCCACAGTACAGGTAGTGTCCTTGTGATTTCAGTAGGGTCCTTGTCTTAAAACTGCAAACTTTCTGTCTTGGTTAATACACAGCTTCACATTTCTAGCAGGCATAGTGATTGGGAGGACATTTTGACAGTGCTTTATTTTCTTATTTGTACAATTGGATGCACTTTAAATTGTCCTTACTTAAAATCTAAGAACAACAAGTTGTATGTACTTCTCTTCTGCTCTCTCTAGTATACCAGAATGGAGTACAGAGAACATGCTCTATCTTCAAACCTTGCCTTAAGACACTGGTTAGGGAGGCCATCTTCCTCTCAGCTTCATTTTTCACAAACACACCTAAAATTTCCCTGTATTGTATGGTTTTCTTCCTGTTTCCGTGACTCTTGGAATCAAGGCTCAGTCACCATGTGTGATCTTTTTCTTCTGAAATGTTGCAGCCATACTTGAGAAATGTGCAGAAAACTGAACTTTGCTCGGAAAAAGTGTTCAAACTTTTTTGAAGAAAGCCAAGTTGAACTGTACTGTATCAAACTTTCACAGTCTTCACTGTTCTGTCATTAACACAAAATAAGGGTTTTTTTACGTAGTTCTGGTCTTATGATATTTTGTCCAGTATAGTTTCTGTAGATTTGATAATGAACTGCAGCCTAAGCAATTTTCAGTTTCTGACCTTTTCTACATTCAGCCCTAGAGCAATAGGTGCATAAAAGAAAATTCTACTGAAAAATATCTTTTAGGCTGAAGAAAACTAGTCTCAAGAAACAATTAAAGGAGGAGAAACATTTTTTTCCAGATAAGAAAGTACTCATAGTTTGATGTGTCCTAAGTTTTTATGTTCCTGTGTTGAGCATTGTATTTCAGAGTGGTTGCTAACATTGCCTTTTTGAATAAGACTTGGACAGTTCTGCTATTCATAGCATCATTCTTCTTGGTTTTCACTAGCCAGGAGGGGGAAAGATAGATTTGAGTTTTTCTTCTTGGCTCAACTGGACTTCAGGGAAACAAAACTGTCTCTAGTTCTTTGATCTGATCTTGTATTCCCTTGTTCCATGTTTTTCTTGATCTTGCACTATCCTTTGAATGTGGCTCAGAGTACTAAACAAGCCTGCAACACAGTTTCTTGCAAGTCAATATCAGTTTTCAGAGAGGTAGCCTGTGTTTTACCAGAGACTGTAAAGCATGGGAGAGACTGAAGTCTCATCTTACTATCCATTTTTAAGTCTCTTGTCTGTAGTGTCTCTTTGACCTGGAAGCACCTTGGTAGTCAAGGTGTTGGTGTAGGATTGGGCTGACAGAGGCCATGAGGTGTTTGTTGTTATTTTGCTGTCATTCTTGCAAGTGAACAGTCTGAACACCATGGTGAAGATTAAAAACATTTCTGTTGGGTAGTGCTGCTGAAAAAGGCAGCAGAGGCAAAGCTGTGCTAAGCAAAGGCAGTTTCTGCTGGGTGCTTCTCAGTTTGAAGTGGGCAGCTTGTCGAAGGCAGTGTGTTTCCAGGTATCCCCACCAGTAGGTCACCAAAGACATTTCAAAGATAAGCCAGTCTGATGGAGAAAGTCAGTGCAGTGATCGCTGGCACACTCATCATGTAACACTCTTCCGAAGTCAGAAAGGGACAGAAGTTTTTCTGTTGCCTTTTGTTTGGTCTGTTTCCTTGAAGGCCACTGTGGCCCACGCTGAAGTGAAGGAGTTTTACCTAGCCCGAGATAGATGCAGATGTGGTCAGTACGGAAACCTGGGGGGGGTTCTGTTTTACATTTCTTCAGTGATGGTTCATTAAACTGCTGTGATTTTGTAGATTCAGAACATTTTTAAATGTGTGTAAGTGTCCAAAGTCATCTTAATGACACTCAGCTTTAGCAAGCTATGAATAAAAATTGTTGGCCTCTCCAGTTCCTAAGGAGAGCCGTGAGAAAGTTTGAGTTAATGGAAGATAGTGACACCCATTGTCACCTGTCAGGAGGGTGAAGTTTTGCTGTTTTGTTTTTGTTAACTTTTCAGTGATGAATAATTTCTTTCCTCAGTCTTGGAGGACAGTTAGGAGTAGCTGGTATCTGCAAGGTTTTACTGAAAGGTTGAGATTAAAGAAGCTATAGGATATGCCATCAACTATGGTAACGTTAGGTAGCTGATCAGATGCACTGTGTAACTGTTGTGACGTGACATATTGTACTTAGAAGCGCAATTCTACATTGTTCCTTTAGTTTTGTTTCCCTTGGAGCTGTCCCAATGCTCTGCCTGCTTTGTTTTGAAAACTCACTGACCTGGAACTATGTGTAATTGTTGTTTCCCCCGCCCCTTTCAAGTTCAGTTTATGTAGTAGACCATATTATTCACAAACCTCCCTCTTTTTATTTCTTTTCTATCCTATCCTAACTGTTGGTATGTTCATTTTTCACAGAAGACTGCGGGTTATCTTGCACTTTCCTATCTCCTTGCACACAACTTAATGAACTCTTTCTTGTTTTTTGCCAGAGATGGTGCGCTGAGTCATCTCCACGAGAGGCTTCTGTACCACTCCGAAGCCAGAATACGTTGAAGCATAAAAGGTGTGAGGGTACACCAGCGTTTTTCTGGCTAGAAAGCTAACCCGCGAGTGAATGTATTGAAGATTTCTAGAGTTGGTGGGACAAATATCTCTACCTCCAGTTTTATGAATACTGCTAGCTATGGCTGTGGAACTCTGTTTGCTGCTGCTGCTGTTTTGTGGAAGTACTATTTCAGAGGTGCAGCCTATATACAAACCACCTCCTGGGACTTTGGATTTTGGATTTGTGCCAGCCAAGACCTATGATACAGGTGCATACCATGAACCTGGGCCAATAGGGATTCTGTTTAAAATAGTACATGCATTCCTGTACTTGGTGCAGCCAAATTCTTTTCCTCAAGGTAAGCAGATAAACTCTTTTCTTTTTTTTTTTTTTTTTTTTTTAAAAAAGAAAAGATTTGTTAGTGATGCATTCATCCTATTGTAGATAGCAAGATCATAATTTGGAAGTAAATGATATGAAGGACTTTGTTAGTAGCACGTGTTAAGGCCTGGAAACACGTACAGTTCCATATGAAATAACACTTTTATGCTAAGCATAGTGGGGGGGAAGTTGTTAATGAAAATGAAATGCTGATGAAATTTCACAGAACTTTGCTTACTATTTCAAAGCTGCCACTGATACATTTGAGGCTTTTTCTTAACTGAAACTTTTTTCTTATGTATGCTCGGAAGCATGAGATAGTAAAGCATAAACTGCTTTGTATTTAGTATTAAATCCATGAGACAGCTCTCTGAGATTTGCATATTATGATAAACAGTCAGGTGGTTATAATATTATGAGATTTAGCGTAGGAAATGGAAACTTAGCATCTTGAAATAAGTTTCATTTATTTCCACATCTGTGCATCCACAGTCAAGTTTTATATAAGGGCACCATTACACAGCTGCATTTAACTTCGTGTTCCTTTGTAAGCTACAAGTTAAGACTTAAAACTACATTTGTTTTATTGAGGTTTTTTTTTCCCATTCCTTTCCTACTAAGTTGTCCCTTCTTCTAAAGGAAAAGTTAAGATATCAGAGAAGCATGTGCTTGTTGAGGTTGCATTTGATTAAAAGGTGCTTTTGGGAACTCTGTTTGTGGATGTGGTAGTTGTATCAACTTAACTTTCCAACGTGCTTCTTGTTTCATTTAGCTCTTAAAAGAAAATGCTAATGTGCTTATATAATATTGGCGTTTAAAATTATATTGAGGTGAAGCTTTCATAAAATTAAGAACGGCTTTCGCTTGTTATTGCTTCCTTTTGGTGGTTTAGCTGTAACGGTGTATAAAAGGTATTTATTATTTTGTAGTACACATTTCAATTTATGTATTAAAACCTTTAGTAATTTAAAGTGTTAAATAAATTCTTTGATCACATACCTTTATGATATCTGTGAACTATTGTTTCCTTCTATTTTTGACATTTTTCAATAGCTGTAGAAGAATGAGCTCAAATGAACCTGAATGAATGAATTCTATTTAGACAAGGTGTTCACCAGGAGAGTAAAATCCTGGCCCGTTCCCTGCAGGATCTGTCTTCTGAGCAGATCTTACACAAGGTGCAATGAGGGCAATAGCATGAAGCTGACGATAATGTCACCTTTTGCAGGAACCATTTCCAGTTACTTTTGCTTTTGGGGCCTCTCTTTCCATTAAATATGCAGATGAACTGTTTGCCTCTCTGTGAGACCTGATAGTTAGGATTGTCGTCTGCATTTAACTCCTAGAAACAGGCCTTTGTTCTGGCTAGAGCCCTGCTGGAATATTTTTTTCTCTTACAACTGTGGAAACCTGATTTTGGTGAGATGTTTGCTGTGTCTTTATCTTAACAGGAATTTGGTCTGTAACCTTGTATGTCAAATTTAACATTATGTGTCCTAAGCATGTAAATAATTAATGAGTATAGAATTTATTAGCAAGATTATAGTCCAGTGAGACTGCTTGTGGTAAATTCTGCGTCGGGTAGGTGTTGTGAGATCCAGCATTGAAGAGAAGACGTCTAGAAGTAAATCACTTGTTCTTAGGTTGTAAGCTTTGAACATCTTATACTGCTCTTTGCTTCCTTGCAGATACTTTTTGCCAAATCAGTTACTCTTAGAAGTTTGGCTTTCGTTATTTGCATTAGACGAAGTCCTTTTCCCATGCTCTCGCATACCTCACTGCAAAATACAGATTTGACGGATCATGTCGGTTTGAGTCATACCATTTAATTGGTTAATCCCCATAATCTCTTTTGCCATATGCTGTTCTATTTTCACATTCAATGTATTAATAGCATAGTTACATATTTGAAATGCTTTTTTTTTTAAACTGCCAACTTGAAATATGTTTGTTTCCATCTCTGAATCACAATTAACTCGAATCACAAATGGGCACAGAAAACAAGCCTTTTGAGGTTTTCTAACTCAAAACTTTGGCATTCCGATTGGGCTGATGCTTCAGAAGAGTTAGCTCCAAGTTGATGCCCTCATGTATTGCATATAGCCATAACATGGAGCGGAAGTGTGACTCGTGTGCAGGACTTGTCATTAAACGTTTGATCTTAGTAGTCTTATACTTTTTCCCTAATACTTGGAAGTACTTGAAAAATTTGGTTTTCCAACTGTTAGTACTCTTAGCTGGGAGGAAGAAAAGTGACAGGATTGTCTAATTGCATATAGATATTCCTGCCTTTGCAAATGATCTTTGTGCTTGCAGTTGTGCTCTGATGGAGCTGAATATGTTATAATACAATATTCATACTCCTTCAGTCCTCAAAATCAGTCAAGAAATATTTTGTAAGTTTTTTTTTTTTGAGTTAAATCTGAATGAGTAATTATTTACTCACTTCTAAATTTGTTCATGCCATCCGGTTTTTGGGCATACAAATTAGATTAAGTTTAGATTTAATAGGTAAGTTATTAATGGGATTAAATACAGTGGTCACATAAAGCACTATAACAGAACCAGGGCAAGGAACTGTAACTCCTTGAGTTTTTTTTAAATTGCTAGATCTTTGAGACCAGCACTGTGCTCTTTGGATATGGCAAGAAACTACTTTAAAAAAGTGAACTAGGATATCTGATTGTAATGCTTCAGTGAGTTCAAATAGATTCTGCTTTCAGCTCCAACAGCCAAATACTTTTGTCCTAATGAGATGATGTACCAGTGTAAATGGGAGTGAATTTACTCCCAGGCGTAGATTGTTATGCAGGGAAGCAGATTCCACTTTGAGTTAATGATACACTGGAGTGGAAAAGACTGGTCACTGGTTTGCTACCTGAGGCTCAGTAGGTCACTTTAATCTTGCTGTGCCTTGGTTTCTTCATTTTACAAATGGAGATGATGGTGCTACTACTCCTTTTATTGAGGACTGTGTAGCATAGAGCGTCATTATTCTTTCCTGTTAACAGCACTGCTTTCAGTAAGTAGATGTTAATAGGAAAATTACAAGTTGCTTCTACGACTCAGCTAAGAGGACATCTAGCAAAACAAATTGTCAGTTTTTCTCTTACTTGGAATTTGTCAAAAACTGAAGCATTAATTTATTAATAAAGTTAAGTTAGTTCATGGTTGTGACGTGGTGCATGTCACCTGTTTTGTGTTGGAGACCTTCAGATGTGAACTTGGTGTAGACAGGGCATGGTTAGTATGATCATCTGGCTATCTTTATTGTGTGTTTAGTCTTTGTTCTCATGGAAACCAGTTGTTAGTTGCAGTAAGATGATATTAATCTGAGATTCCATTTGCCAGCAGGATGTTCACAACAAATCTTTGGCTTCACAGATTGTGTCTTGTAACAAAAATGTGAAGAGTTCATGAAGGAAATAAGCTGTGAATAAAGCTCCTGCTCCTATTTTTAGATAAAATAAGACAAAAACTTACAGGCCTGTTTACTGTACGTGAACGTATTGCAGGACAACTGTGCCACTTCTATTAAGTTGCAGCTGCTTTGTTCCAACTTCTGCTTTTTATTCTGGATAACCTGTTTCCACTGAAGCAGGAATAAAACTTTAATGTAAAAATCAACTATTGAATGCAGGTACTTCCTGGGCAAAACATAGTGCGAATAGTTAACTGTACTATTTGCCTGTGGGGAGCAAGAACTAGCTGGTTTTTGAGAGCTGGAGTACCCCTCTCAGTTCTTTCTGTTTGTGGAGTCTCACTTCTTGAACAGCTTGAGCATAAGACTGAGGATCCAAACTCTTAACTATTTTAAGGCAAAGTCCTGGCTCTGACCTCTGTTGGTCTTCTCCTCACCTGGTCAGCCTTTAAAGCAGCTGCGAATTGTGGAGTTCAGCAAGTTAGTCTTGTGTTCCCAATCTGCAGTGAATATCTTGCATGAGTGTATTCAGCAATTAAAACATTTTAACTTTAAAAAAAAAAAAAATCACATAACTTGATGTGAAAATAAACAGTGTATCCGTAGCTAGTATTGCTGTAATAGAAAACACATATGCAAAATGCTGTTGTTGTAGAAGGTTTGGTGAGCTCCTAGGATATTGATTTTTTTGAATACATTAGCTGTGTTGAATGTAAAGTTCTAAAGCAAATAATCAAAACACTTTATCACCCCCTCAGTTAAACTCAGTAACTCAGATTTTTTTTTTTTTTTTGGTGAGTGTGTAAAACTAACTTTGCCTTTTGCAAGTATGTAGTTCTTGGTTGCCCATTTCTACTTTAGTTTTGCTTCCTGTTGGTAATAAATCTTCCACAGCTCACCTACAAAAGGAAATGCACGTGTCTGGATGTTGCAGCATTGGAGCTAAACTCAGCTACACGTCCCTGGTAATGCCCTTTTGTTTTTAAACCTAAGACTTTCCCAGGAACATTGGGCACATCTGCAGCAACATGCGGTGAAAGGACTGTGCTCTGGCACTGACTTGAGCTCTGACTTATGTGCAATCCAGCAACATAAGATACTGCTGAGGTACCCAGAGCCATTATGACCTTTTATAAAAGCTTAAATTACAATATCTTTTTTCCAATTGTGTGAAGTCTTAGTTTTAGTTTGGGCATGAAACTGCACTGATGTGATAGACTGCTTTTTTGAGCTGGTGTTTGACAGCTGCACCCCTGTGCGTGTGGGTTGGTTTTCTTAACGCTTAGAACTGGGTTGGGTGCACAGATGCAATTGCTGGCGCAGGAACTGTGAAGGGAAGAAGAGCAAGACCTGCCCTTCAGTAAGCTAGCTGTTAGATTGGCTAAGATGTATTGTGAAATGACAATTTCAGTAAGCTGTAGAGTCAGTGCCTTCTCCACATCTCTGTAACTGTTTTGGTTTTTTCCCCAGGACTGTGGCTAGAGCTGTGACATGGATTAGAGTAGTAACTGAAGTGTACATATCAAAAAATGCAGATTTCAGTGACAGAGGTTCCA